TGACACGTTTAAGGTCCATTAATTATTTTTCAAAATTTGATTTCCTTAAGGGAGTCTTTTAATCCGCTGAAGTCTTTCTGACAGATATATTTGTCAGTTAAATTAATTCTTAAAATAATAAATTTAATCTAAAACAAACAGAAATTGAAAAAGAAAAATAGTAAGCGAATAGCAACAAAACTAATAAAAATATATTGTGAGTAAAAAAATTCCGTTCGAATGCATAGGATTACGGATAAGCAAAATGTCAGAGAATTCACTATTGAAGTTTCTTGAGGTCCATTGTTGTTCTTAATAATTGCTCATACAGGTTCTGAGCTTTCTTATAATTAGAAACAAATTAAAGCTTTTAAAAAATGATTAATTCCAAGATAGATCACAAAAGTAGATCATACTCCATGATTGAGATGACGAGTATTTGATCTTATTTGAATTACCAAAAGTCCTAACGCTTCTTAAGCAAACTTGCATTTTCACACTTGCCACAACCAAACAATGCTGATCCAAAAACATTGACGAAAAATAGTGATAGACTCTAAGAAATGTACCAACTACCTTCTTTTTTTGGGAGGTTCAGCTGCTCGATTCAATGTTTCCGATGCGCTTGGACCGAAAAAGAACCGAACTCAACCGCAGTGGAAAATAATCTGATCAGTTGAAAAAATAATGTTGAGTATAACAAGACATGATGCATATCGATGTAAACCAAAATGAAGCAATCAACGAACACATAAACACATGCATTCTTTTTCGAAAAATGAAAACCCAACGGAAAAATGCATGAGAGCAGCAAAAAAATGATTCCTATCGATCAGAATAATGCTTTATGACAATAGAAAAATGTTTCCAAGTTATAGATTTAGAAGCAATGATTTACCATGATCGTGCTCGTGATCTCTTTTCTGTTCATTTTCTCTCTTTCATCTTTGCTATTATTGTTTTCTTTTTGTTCTGTTTTATGATACTGTACGTATCTGAATAATATATTAAAGGCATTTGAAGAATTAGATTATATAATGCAAAATAAAATATGCCAGAGAAAATGCATAAGTAGTGTCAAGAAGAGCTTTTCACTAATAAACAAAATGATAAAAAACGAAAAAAATGTCTCTTTGGATAGATGAATGGTAATCTTTATATATATAGGATGAAGAGAGGAACGAAGGTCTTAGAGAAAAATAATATTTTAGAAGTTATATGACGCTAAAGGAAAAAGTGAACATGTTTCTTTATCACAGTACTCTAATACGATTATACACGTATATAGTTCTTTAGGAACTGAAACGCATAGAACAAAACATTTTGTCCTAAGACTTTTAAAGCAAAGCTATTTATTTTCTTCTTCTGTCACTGTATCACCAATGGATAAGTGAAAAATAGAGAAAAAGCAAATTCGTTTATCGAATTCATATATTTTTTTCGTTGATCATCTAGTACAGGCTATTCGCTCTTTATGTACCAAATAAGTATAAGCGACAAACAAAGACGGAGTTGATCTCTACGTGCAAATCGATGTATTCTTGTTTCGAGGTACTTTCTCCATTTCCTTTCATGTGATCATTTGCATGCCACATACAAATAAAATCAGAAATTCATTTTTCTTTTCCCATAGCAAAGCGCTTTCTTCATAAACCTTCATCTTACTACATACACGGTAGAACGATGAAGCGAACAACTTTTCTCTTAAACTGAATCATTATTTCATTTCTGATAATCGTTCTTTCTTAGGAAAAGCAAACATTACCAAGCAGTTTTAATCCTTCCACTGCAAGGCTCCTAAAAAGTGAAAATATGCTACAGCACTTTTCTCATCGAAAAAAGATTCAGACATTTTTCTTAGTCATCCTTCCCATAGAAAGTTATATTTTTGCTTTGCATTTTAATGCTTCTGCTGAGTATGTATGTTTATAACTATAATTGAAGCATACTAGTTTCCTTACAGGATTGAATAATACTGGGTGTCCCCAAAATTCGAACGGATAAAGCAATTGAATATCTCCATTGCCCATTAATCAAATGGACGGATTTTTTTCTTGGTGATAGAAGATACTTTAAAGTTTTGTTTCATAAGAAAACCGTTAACAGATACTATTTTCAACCATCATTTTTGACTTCAATATCGAAATGTACACAATTTCGATTTCTAAAAAAGCACTTTCGAAGGAAATTTCCCTAGATGATTTATTTTGACATGAAACTTGGGCTAAAGCGGGGTCTCACTCAGACCAGCTTCAGTAAAAAGTTTCAGAATTTTAGGGTATAGTCTTTTCGGAATATCAATTTTTCAAAATTTAGGCGCTTTTCCATCGATGCTGTGAGAAATTTACGAAACTCATATTCCGAGAAAACTATATCCAAAAATTCTAAAACTTTCTTCAAAAGCTAGCTTGAATTAGATCTCGTTTTGACCAAAGCTTCATGTCAAAAGTCGAAACCTTAATTTTCTTCGAAGAATTGAAGTCATCAGGGAGATAATCGACTAAAAATTCCATATTCCAGTCAAAACTGCCAAAGAGCATAAACTTTTTGGAGGTCTTATACTCCAATGGTCCTCTAGCAGTGGGAAAAACATGCCATCAAAAGCTTCGAATCATAATATGGGCTCGAAATCATCTCGGCGACTCTTCCTCGAAAGCATTGTTTGACAAATCGTAAATGTGTACATTTCGGTATCGAAGTTAAAAGTGATGGTTGAAACTAGTATCTGTTAACAATTTTCTTACGAAACAAAACTTTAAAGTATCCTCTATCAACGAGAAAAAAAAGCGCTCATTTGAGGAAAGAGCGATGAAGATATTCAACTTTTTTATTCGTTCGGATTTTTGGGACACCCTGTACAAATTATTTGGTTCGTGATTTCTGCTGTTGATTACTGTTTTTCATATGTGTGTATTTTCATTCGTCTTGGTTAAACTTCAAAGACAAGCATTTTTGACCTGCACCATTAAACTCCCCTTGAAGGTTTCATTTATCTTAACAATCGAAAAGTTAACCAATCCTCGAACTCACACCAGTAAAACCCGATTCGATTTGACCTCTGGCACATGTACCATCTAACTTACATTTCCGTTACATATGTTCTCATTATTTTAGTCATACAAAATGCAAAATTACCGAACGCTTTGGCTTATCATATTGGTTATGATGGCTGAATTTTATCATGTGTACACCACAAAAGAAAGAATTCTCAGCTATGAAGTTAACATTGAAGGAGAAAAATTTCAAGTTTATTTGGAACCATCGGGTCGCAAATGTTTTTGGACAGGAAACGCGCCGCTTTGTTTTATCACTGCTGGCTGTCCACCAAGAACAACAACCATAGAAGTCGACAAGTCTGGTGATGGTGCCTACTGCTGGATTGGTTTTAAGTATTATTGTTGTATTTAATTGAACCATTTCAAGTGAAACCAATGAACTTGTATATCTAATAAAGGAATAAATCTGCTACAGGCGATTTTTCCTTCTCAACTTTAGGCTTACATTAATTTGTCTAATATCCTTGGTCAATTTTGAAAATAAAAGTTATTAATACGGCTGTTTAAGAAATTAGAATGTGAAACACGATGCAGCGATTTGTATTCGCAGAGATGAAGTATCTTGAACGTGGAAAAAGGCGAGTATATATGTCCAATTTCGCATATCATGGATCGTTCTAAGAAAGCCTTTCAGAATAATTCAAATTTTCCATCACCTTTACTAGTACCTCTAAGTACAATTGTAAAAGTCACTCGAATGTCTATTGTCGGTAGGAGCCTAGCATAATACTTCAAGGAAGGTTGATTCCATGCAAGAATCTCAAAAGTAAAAGAGACGAAGTAATCAGTACCCGTGCCTTAATCAAGCCCTTGACTATGTCTGTATTGGTAATCAGTTGTAATCTGTATCGATCTTTGGGGATGAGATGATGAAGCTACGACAGTGAAAAGGATTCTGGACGATAACCCGCAAATTTGGCTCCATTAGAAAAGACGTTCTTAGGCATAAAGTTTTATCAACTGTTGCATCTTAGTTTGCAGGCATTCGAATAATTTGGTACTACAAAAATCAAAATTTAACCTCACTTTCACGATACAGACAGTATGGGCTTTGTGACGATACACTCTAAAAAATTTCCGTCTCCTAGGAAACTAAAATCAGTTCGGAAGCCCTTTCGGAAACCTTTTTTGGTTTCCGAAAGGGTTTCAGATCACCGAAATCGTTTTCGAAAATACCGTATTGGTTTCCGAGGTTTCGGAAACCTTTTGGTTTTCGAGAGTACCGAATTCGATGCGCGTAGGGTATTCTAGAATACCTTTTCATCATTGGCGCAAACCAAATTAGTACTTTCGGAAACCTGTTGGGTATTTTAGGAAGCCAATTCTGTCCTAAAAGTTGTTTGGGTATCTAAAGAGGTATCCGAGAATACCTTATCGGTTTCCGAATCACTATCTCGGAAACCTCAAGAGTTTCAGAAAGCTCGGAAACCCTAATTCGTACCCAAGAATACCTTTTTGGTTTCCGAATCACTTTCTCGAAAATAAAAAGAGTTTCCGAACTACTTTCTCGGAAATCTAAAGAGATTTCGAAAGCTCGAAAACCCTAAGTGGTACCCGAGAATATCCTTTCGGTTTCCGAATCACTTTCTCGGAAACCAAAAGCGTTTTCGAATGGCTTTCTCGCAAACCTAAACGGCTTCTAAAATTTCTGAAATTCGAAAAGATATAGTGAAAAACAGAAATCAGCTTTCCAACTTCACTTAACTACTGCACACTTTCTAGGCTTGGAAACTATCACAATGAGTCTCTAAAGCGTTTTAGAGCATAACAATTTTTCCAATGCAGAAAGTTCGCGTTTCAAATTCATGTTTGGGTCATGGTTCTGTTCTTCATTTCTGGAATTCTTAGAGAATCGAAAGCACTTAGAGCTTTCATGCAACATGTTTGATTATATATGTGTAGTTCATAGCTTTCAATAAATATAAACTTAAATCTAATTTTTTTTCTTTATTTAGGTCTATATGAATGTCCATCACTAATTCTGGTAAGTCAACTGATTTATATAAACTTAAAACGAATTTCTTTTTGTTTATTTAGGTGTATATGAATATCCATTAAAATGTCGGGTAAGTCAATTGATTTATATAAACTTAAATCTAATTTCTTTTTCTTTATTTAGGTCAGGGCTGCCAACCGTACCCATTTTGGGGTACAATACCCCATTTCGACATTTTGTACCCCAGAAAATTTCGTACCCGAGGGGTACATATTTTGTACCCCATTTCGTTTTTTAAGTCTGGAATGTGATAAAACACCATATCAAGGTAAAGAAAGTGTGTTTTCCCACTAGTCTTTTCACTTCTATCTATCTAATAAAGTATCAGTTAACAAATGATCGATAGATTTCTACATCTGCTTTGTTCAGTGTCGGATTGAAATACTTGGTTGTTCATACTATTATCGTTATAAACACCGAAATAAGACTTAAACATTTCTCCTTATCTGATTTCTCCGTGTTGCATTAATTTTTCTTTTTATTTGGCAAATACATATTCTATTAGATATATCTCTAATTGCAGATTTTCTCTTTAATGAATTTGATGGTAATCTTCGTTGTCTATTTATAATGTTCTTTTCCAATTTCAAACTCAACAATCAATTAACACAAAGCTAATTGAAACAGTGTAAACAGTTAAGCCTATCTAATTGAAAAACAACAGTGAAATATGATTCTGTTCTCTACAAAAGCAGTGTCGTTTCAGCAGGTTTCTCAATTAAATACTTTACTTCAGGAGTAAAATCATGTACCCCATTGATGTACCCCTTTTTAAATTGGAATGTACCCCAAATGTACCCCATTTTGACTTTTGTAAACCCATTTAAAAAATGAGAAATGCCACCCCTGATTTAGGTCTACATGAATGTCGATTACTAATTCTGGTAAGTCAACTGATTTATATAAACTTCAAGCTAATCCTTTTTTCTTTATTTAGGTCTATATGAATATCCATTAAAATGTCGAGTAAGTTAACTGATTTATATCAACTTAAAGCTAATTTCTTTTTGTTTGTTTAGGTCTGTATGAATGTCCATTACTAATTCTGGTAAGTCAGCTGATTTATATAAACTTAAAGCTAATTCTTTTTTCTTTATTTAGGTGTATATGAATATCCATTAAAATGTCAGGTAAGTCAATTGATTTATATAAACTTAAATCTAATTTCTTTTTGTTTATTTAGGTCTATACGAATGTCCATTACTAATTCTGGGAAGTCAACTGATTTATATCAACTTTATAAATCTAGTTTTTTATGTTTATTTAGGTGTATATGAATGTCCATTGATAATTTTGGTAAGTCAACTGATTTCAATAAAAGTAAATCTGATTGTTTTTTCTTCATTTAGGTCTATATGAGTGTCCATCAATAATTCTGGTAAGTCAACTGATTTATATAAACCTAAAGTTAATTTCTTTTTGTTTATTTAGGTGTATATGAATATCGATTACAATTTCTGGTAAGTCAATTGATTTATATAAACTCAAATCTAATTTGTTTTTGTTTATTTAGGTCTATATGAATAACCATTAAAATGTTGGGTAAATCAGCTGATTTATATCAACTTTATAAATCTAGTTTTTTGTTTATTTAGGTGTATGTGAATGTCCATTGATAGTTTGGGTAAGTCAACTGATTTCAATAAAAGTAAATCTGATTGTTTTTTCTTCATTTAGGTCTATATGAATGTCCATGAAGAATTCTGGTACGTCAACTGATTTATATAAACTTAAAGCTGATTCTTTTTTGTTTATTTAGGCCTATGTGAATAACCACCAAAATGTCTGGGAAGTCAGCTGATTAATATAAACTTAAATCTAATTTGTTTTTGTTTATTTAGGTCTATATGAATATCGATTACAATTTCTGGTAAGACAATTGATTTCAATAAAATTCAATCTGATCCTTTTTTCTTTATTTAGGTCTGTAATGAAATTGCATTAATATTCATGCGTGGACTGAGAGTGTGAGGGCTTCCGTGGCAAATGTAAGGGTTATTTTAATTGACCGAAGTAAGGTATCTACTTGTTCTGGAACCTGCTCGGGAACAGTTCATGCGTTTCCGATGGTTGGTGTGTTGTGGTAGTAAAATATGCTAATGTAGGGTTTCCGAGTGCTCGGAAACCTTTTCTCGGGAACCCTTAAAAGGTTTCCGATAGTAACAAGTTCGGAAACCCATTAAGGGTTTCCTACACGACGGATTTTTCTTAGAGTGTAGTAGCACCGAGAAACTAATTGCTTGAGTACTTATGCGTATACGTCGGTAGAGGCGATTTATTCATCATTTTGTAGAGAATTTCATTTTGAAGAGCATTGTACAAACAATTTTTTCTAGAACGAATATTTTGTACAACAAGACTTGGAATATCCATAACCTGAGCAAAATATAATATGTGGTGCAAATTTCTTTGAGCAAATGTCAAGCTATGTTAGATCATGTTGTCAACTTCTAAACTAATCAAACTTTCTTGTTGGGAAGAGCAATGTTTGAACTACAAATTTTCTACTAAATACATTTTTTCCGTATGAATCTAAGAGCGAGGAAAAACCAAAGGCTAAACACCTCTTAAAAAAAGTTCTTGCAACGCTATTGCGACTTGAAAAGTTTCGATTTCACAATTATTTTGAGCTGCATAGATCGATTTCTAACAAAGAAATACAAAAAATACAGTGCATCAACAACTATCGATAACAGGTTTGGTAATTTTTTTTAGATTCGTCCTTGGTTCTTTAATTAAAAGAAACGTTGGAGAGTAAAGTTTTTCAGAATGGATTCTTCTGCGAGAACTACAGTCAATTTCCCTAATAACGACGGGAAAATTTTGTCTTACCTTATTTCGTTCGGTTCTCAGCTATTGTGCATCCAATTAAAAATATTTTTATATTTGGAGAATCCTTGAAGTCTCCTCTTTCCAATGATATATAGGTTTCATTTTACTTACTTGTTATTATCGAGAAATTAGCGGTCTACGATAAAGAGGCCCAACCGTCGTTATTAGGGAATCGAACCCTACTAACGATTCCCAGCAAAATCATTGACCCTAATAACGACGCTTCAGCAAAATCCCAGCGAAAAAATGCTTTTAAATAAAAAAAACTTTTTTCACGTTTTCTGTGAGAAATCAAGCATTAGTCTCTTAGACAATTTTGTAGAGCGGGTCAGTGCTGCCACCTTTTCAAGTCCAAAAGGCAGAAAAAAAATTATAAAAAGCAGAAAATGACAGAAATTCCATCATCAAAAAGCAGAAAAAAAAGCAAAAAAGATATTTCTTACGTAAATCTACTATAAAGCTTCTATTCAATATAATAATTAAAAATTGTATATCAAATTTCAATTTTTATTAAACAAGATCAAGAAAAACAATCGATTAAACAAATAAATAGAATTATTCAATTCGATTGTACAATATCAAGAAAAACAAATAAATACAATTATTAGATACACTTTCTTTTGAACCCATACTTTTCATCTGATATAATAGCTTTTAACAAATCTTGATTAGATAAAACATGTTTATACATTTCAATGCATGATAATGATGAATTAAACCATACTTTTAATTCAGCTGATAGAAGTTCAATTGTCATACAATTCCTTTTATCATTACATAAATATTTTAATTGTGAAAAAGCTGACTCAACATAAGCATTACTACATGGTAAAGAATACAAAAAACATACGAGTTCCTTGAAATTTAGAGATTGAGTAAGAGAAAACATATGCATCCAGAACTGATCAGATCTCACAATTCTGCTTTCTGAATGATCAGCATCATCATCATTTTCTTCTTCTTTGCATTCATTTGTTACTGCTATATCACCTTGTTTACTAATAAACGTCTGAACTTGATCAAAAACTGAGATACGTTGTTGCAAGATTACTTTTAATGCTGATTTTATATTTGTAAATTCATCAGGGTGTGGGTGTGGGTGTGGGTGTTGGTGTGGGTATGGGTATGGGTGTGAGTGTGGGTGTGGGTGTGGGTGCGTGTGGGTGTGGGTGTGGGTGTAGGTGTGGGTGTTGGTGTGGGTGTGGGTATGGGTGTGAGTGTGGGTGTGGGTGTGGGTGTGGATGAGTGCTTTTTTAATCTACGCCCACACCTACGCCCACACCCACACCCACACCCACGCCCACACCCACACCCACACCCACACCCACATTCACACCGACACCCACATCCACAGCCGCACCCCCACACGCACACGCACACCCACACACACCCACACCCACATCAACACCTACACCCACACCTGCTTTCTTCATATGTAACATCTTTACGTTTTCGATTGAAAATATCCCGAGGGTGAGGGTAACTGAAGGAACCTTTCAATTTGACAAGGAACTGAGTTGGTAACCAATTGTCTTGGTAACCATCTCAACTGGCAATCATCTGACTCTATATTATCTAATTACTTGAAATAAGTTGTAATAGACATAATCGATTATATTCGATTCGGATTGGTTTCGGTCATCAACTCATTCGGCGATATGGGAATCGGCGAACTTCATCGTCGGCGAAAAATATTTTTGGGCAATCTTGAAATCGGCGAAATTCACCTTCGGTGAAAATGCACGAATTCGGCGATCAGTCACTACTGACTGCTGGTAGCTTAGCTTCTTCGTCTTATCAGGTATAGCTTGCCCATGGTGATGTACGCAAGATAAATATTTAAAGTGGAAATCATGACGTCGGAACTTAAGAAAGGCAAATACGATGTTTGCCCTCTTACTGATATCGATGTTATCAAGCAATGTCATACACTTTTGCCAATCGTAAAAAGGAAAAGAAGAGAAGAGAACAGTCGATATGTATATAACTAACTGCAAGAGTAGCAAATTGCACAGCAAAACATCTTTGTCCAACCAATATGTTTTGGTAGATCTTGTACTTCATGTTAGTGCTCCACCACTCCAATGCGAACAGAGTCATCTATCGACCCAACGAATTGCTTAATGGTCAGAATCCTAATGGACCATGGTCCTTCGGCTTTGTATAGCCCGACAATCATCTTTCATTCCAGTTGTACAAAAGCTACATACCAAACGTTTATGGCCACTTCCCATCCTATAATACGGATCCACGAATGACTGGTGTCGCAGTTTTTTTATAGCAGTGTTTTTTCGAACCAAATTCATAGTATGGGCTGGATTCTGCACAATACGAACAAGAACAAATTCGCCCAATTTGGATTGGACGAGTACAACCTGGCGCCGAGTCAGCTTCTCTTTCATCCAGGTCCGAACAATACTCGAGCGAAACATCATTCACAAAACACTGTTCACACAGTCTAAAGGCCCTTAGCTTCATCAATGAAAACACCATATTATGCGAACAGTTGCCTGCATTCGCTTCACTGTCCCATCCGCTGACACTTACCATGTTAATGCTGTTTTCTTTACCACAGCTGGGCTAAAGATTGAAGGACCCTCGACAGATATTCATCTTTTTATCAACAATGTCGAGTTACGTTCGCTGTGGCTCAAACGCAATGTCGGTCTATTGGCGTTCGACAATGTCTACTTGAACGAAGGAGACTATGTACAATTCGAAATCGGATACGGAGAAAACAAGAACTACACTTACGATGGCGTTCTTGCTTCATTCGAAAATGTTGTTCCTCTATCGCGTACACGCGAGAAAGAAAGAAAATCACAACATGATTGTTGAACAGTTCACAGCTGAATATAACAATCACAGTGGATACTTAGTAGGTTCTGGACGCATTGACTCATAGATAAGTTAGTTGCCAGACTAACTTCGCCTGCTTTGTTCTCTCCTCTATATTGAACAAACAATAAAATAACTATTGTCTGTCCAAAAAGTCAGCGGACTCGGATAGTTTTGAAATAACTCAAGAACACAAAGAGATAGCGAGTGTGGTTTCAGCAATCGATAGAGGCTTATAGGAGACACATATTTATAT